TATTTTTTTGACATGTCCAGTTGTATTCACTTCAGTTATAGATGAAAATAAAGTTGAACTTGTCAATGGCATTAAAATTGGTCCCTGTAGTTGCTGGCCCAAACATTAACAAACCCAGAATTCTTCATAACCATCCCTGTGAGAATCGGAAATGCTACAAAAAAACCCTGTGTATATAAGCTGACTTGTCACTTGTAGTCTTCTTCCATCTATACTTACTTACTTACTTACTTACTTACTTACTTACTCACTCATGGAGCTGAGCCCTTCTGGAGGAGCCCCCAATTCTGCAGCTACTCAAGAATCTCCCAGCGTTTTATGGAACCTGAAGGTTCATTACCATGTTCACAAGAGCCCTCCACTGGTCCCTATCCTGAGCCAGATCTATCCAATCCATACCATCCCATCCTATCTCTCTAAGATCCATTCTAATATTGTCCACCCACCTACGCCTTGGTCTTCCCTGTGGTCTCTTTCCTTCTGGCTTTCCCACCAATATCCTATACGCATTCCTCATCTCCCCCATTCGTGCTACATGACCTGCCCACCTCATCCTCCTTGACTTGATCATTCTAAGTCTTCCATCTATAATGCAACATTAAACAATATTAATATAGATTTAGATGACACTAATCCACATTTAATTCACTAAAATGTTCCTTAAAATGTTTAAAAGTGTCATTAAAATATATACATTCCACATTTATATGCTACATGTTTCGGCCACACAGGGCAATCTTCATGCAACACATTTTTAAGGAATCCACTGCACTGTGCACTTTGTCAATAGTACTCTTAAAGTACGTCATTATTATTAATTTTGGTGTTATAGGATATTTGTTCTGCCTATCTTCCATACTGTGGCCACTCTGTGCCCTATTGGGTGTGCCGCTCCCTTGGTTGTGTGATCAACATTTTCAATCTGGCTACTTCTGAATTTTCGGTACAATCCAAGAACAAAAAGAACATGATGTTCAAAACTAACAAATATATTTTCATTACAACTGAGCCAGGATGGTTCAGTCAGTACAGTGATTCATCATGGGTTGGATGGCTTGGGTTCAATTCCTGGCAATATTAAAAATTTTTATCTTCATCACATCAAAACTGTCTCTGGATCCACCCAGCCTCCTACCCAATTTGTATCAGGTGCTGTTTTCCCAGGGTTTAAAGAGCCATAGTATTCAACTGACCCCTCACTTCAATATTTTGTGATCCTTTGCTGTGGGTACCACCTGTGATTGGAGCTCAAGGTTCATTAATTCCTGTTGTAATCACCATGCGGGACAGGGCAGTTAAAACATAAAACAGTATGGGCCTAAAAGAAAATATTTTGGCTGACATATAAATAAAATGTAGAGCAGCAAATGGAACCACAAAATTCACAACTGGATGCTACATGCTGATCAAAATGTATTATACTAATAAGCAGAGTAGTGGTGATTTTGCAAAAGAAATGTGTTTTAATTAAATGCAGTTGAGTCATGTTAGAAGCAGCAATCATATGGTGTTAAGTTAGAAGCTATACGGGTTCGAATCCATTGATTACAGACCAAATGGTTGTCACAACAGACCAGACTATTAGAATATGACAACAAAAACAGATAAGTTATGTCAGAATATTGTGACAGTTCCATTAAGGAGCAATGCAGAAGAAGTCTACAAATGGGATTTTTACAGAGGAATTTAAAAATATGAAGAGAGACTCAGAATTCATGGGTTTGCACGTAAAGCACAAGCTCGCTTCACGGCGGCTGTTCAGCAATTTAATGACGTGATATTGAGGAGGAAGTCTGATGAGCATATGCTGTTGATTTGTTGACCACGCCACGAATCCGAACTGACTTGATGTGAGCAGCATAAGGCACTACCATGTGAAAAGCCAAACGGTTTGTGGTAGCCTCTGAAATAACTTCCCTGTAAAACCCTGGGTTAGAAGTATTCTGTTAGATTTGTATAAAATGTATTATCCAAATTGTTAAATAATTATTACGACTCTCCTACAGGACATCTGCTTCCAGGGTTACAGAGAGTGCACTTCCAAGATTCCACATCACACTTCTGCTGTGTGCATTTTGCAGGTTAGCTTTATCATCAGAGCCAAGGAAGGAGCATGATGAATGATCTGCCTAGTCCACACCAGGCTGGTTTGCTTTTTTATTTTCATTGAATCGACAGAATAAAGCCTGCAGAAATTTGATTTGAAGAAGGAGAAAAGGGTGAATGAAATGTAGGGGTGATAACCTGACAGTGCAGACAATGCATCTCAGCTGATATGGGGTGCTCCATTTGGTATCTCAACAACTCATTTAAAATAAGGCCATAAAACCAATTACAACCACTGCCTCTGATACTACTACTACTACTACTACTACTACTGCTGCTGCTGCTGTTGATGTTACTACTACAGTCAGTATAGCAACTGGCTACAGGTTGGATGGTTGGGGTTCCATTCCTGGCAAGGACAAAATATTTTTCTCTTCTCCACAGCATCCATATCAGCTCTATGGTCCACCCAGCCTCCTATCCAACGGGTACTTGGTGCTCTTGTCCCTTGTGTAAAGCAGCCAGGACATGAAGCTGACCACTCACATCCATCTAGTGCTGAGGTCAAAAATGGTGAAGCTGTACCTCCACTTCCTCATGCATCTTCATGGCAGGGTGCTTAAGTAATGAAGCATGATGACAACTTTTCTTTGACAGCAGTAGAATGCCAAATGTTTTCCCAAAACAGTGACCGATTGTTACAGCCGTATTAGCATGCGCTCATACATCACGCACTGCCAGATGTCTCACAAATTGCTGCTCTGATTAAACTTCCTACACTGGAGTGAGACAACGACTGAACACACTGTCTACTCTGCACACATCACCTCCAACCTCAACACCAATAGCAAACCAAGAGCATAAAAAAAGAGAGGTAAAACAAGTCACAACTGCTGGAGTAGGTGAAAGCATGCAAGGGGGATGCAGCTTCAAGAAAAACAGACTGGGAAAAATCTGTCTTTATTTGTTCGCTGTCCCAGTATAGACTCAATATAAACCACATACAATGTGAAATTTTCCTATATTAAACTAAGCCAAAATGAATTAAACCCCCTTAACACATCACCAAATCTGAATTTGTGGATCAATGTAAACATGAGTCAATGCTTCTCTTTTAAATATCACAATAAAACTATAGTCATCTGACAGCAAACAGTTCAACTATGCTGAACAATTCTTCATGGAAGAATCATACACCAGCAAGAAAATATGACTATACAATTATTACTCCTGGGTCACGTGGTAGTGTAGATGGTTCAGGCACTATGCTACAAGACAGAAGGTCGTGGGTTCAAGTCCCGATGAGGTCATTGGATTTCTTTTAAATTGACTCAATCCTTCCAGCTGCACTATGGTCATGGAGTCAACTCAGCCTCTAACAGAAATGAGTACCAGGCATATTCTTGAAATATTCTTGGGGGTAAAAGGCGTCCAGTGCATAAGGCTGACAACCTTGCCGCCATCTATGAGCTGATTGTCTAGAAAATGTGGGAACCTCAACATCTAACAACCCTATGGGCCTCCACGGCCTGTTACAGGGTTACCTTTACTTTTTACTTTACCACCTCAATCAGCTACATTTCTTCTAGAAAGGAGTTTAGTGTACACAACACACATACTTCAAATTATTTAACACCAAAAACATTAAATACAGGGTAACTTACTTACTTACTCATGGAGCTGAGCCCTTCTTGAGAAGCTGCCAATTGTGTAGCTACTCAAGAATTTCCCAGCATTTTATGGAACCCGAAGGTTCATTACTGCGTTCACAAGAGCCCTCCACTGGTCCCTATCCTGAGCCAGACAAATCCAATCAATACCATCCCATCCTATCTCTCTAAGATGCATTCTAATATTGTCCACCCACCTACACCTTGGTCTTCCCTGTGGTCTCTTTCCTTCTGGCTTTCCCATCAATATCCTATACGCATTCCTCGTCTCCCCCATTTGTGCTACATGCCCTGCCCACCTCATCCTCCTTGACTTGATCATTCTAATTATACTTGGAGAAGAGTACAAGTTATGAAGCTCCTCACTGTGCAATTTTCTCCAACCTCCTGTCCCTTCATCTCTCTTCGGTCCAAATATTCTCCTCAACACCCTGTTCTCAAACACCCTCAGTCTATGTTCCTCCCTTAATGTCAGAGACCAAGTTTCACACACATACATAACTACAGGCAACATTATAGTTTTGTATATTCTAATTTTTATGTTTTTGGTCAGCAGACAAGAAGACAAAAGGTTCTGGACTGAATGGTAGCAAGCACTACCCGAGTTCAATCTCCTCTTAATTTCCTCCTGAATCAGATTTCGATCTGTTATCGTTGTTCCAAAATATCTGAGCTGTGCCACATTTTCAAAACATTTGTTTCCTCTCTTTATGTCATGATTTTGCCCTGCATTTTGGTGACGAGACAGCAAATACAGGGTAAAGAAAATATAACATATTACAAACACTCACATAAGTAATAACTATCGAAAACTGCGTTAAATCAAATCAAATAACTTCTGCAAAAAATCTGGTTGAACAGAACCCGGATAAGAAGAATGGCAAATGTCACTTCTCCAGTACCAGCAAAACATTTTCAAAGCTACCAAACAAACAAGTTCAGGGCTCGTTATTGCCGATGTATCCTACTCTACATAAAATGAGCTAAAATATTAATAAATTCATAACTCCCGCTACGTAACATGCAAGAGGATTAACAGTGATGGCAGCACTCTTGCGGTGGAAGGCAAAATGTCATCACAAAAGTCCATTACACTTACACAGTATGAAACAATACAAGTGATGCAAAATTAAAACTAATTTGCGTTCTAGCTTTGTCTTCATTCATAAGCAGGCCATAATTCGCAAACAAACAGTTTTGACAAATAAAAGCAAATCTCTCTCATTTATGTAAGGACGCTTTTGTCAAAAATTGTGTACTATCTAAGACAACATATATGCTAACCTTCTTGAGAATTCTCCAGCATTTCCTGAAGATCCGAGAAATTTGGATAAGTAATTCCACATGATTTAGCGAATTTTTCTAAAAATGAGCAAATAACTGCAAAATTTGGGTCACAAACACAAGATGCTTCATTATCAGACGCCATTTTCACTCGCTATTTGCACTACGTTACACAATGTTTCTGCAATCTTTAAATATTGCCATCATACCTCTGTCGACTGGTTTCAGCAAAACACAATTACGTGCATTTTATTTTCATATGAACTCAAGCATCAATGAATAAAACTACTGAAAAATCATTAACATTAACATGGGTATACATCTGATTGAATTGGTTCAGAAATCCGATATTTAGAATTCGACCACAGATCAATTTGTAGGTAAGTTGTGGTAGAAACTTAATGTCGTGTAATTGCCCATTGTTGCTAAAGAATCGTGGATTAGTAGGGATTAATAGTAAGTTTTACTAGTAATTGATCAAATTGTATGACTAAGGAATGTGGAATGGTATTTAATGCAAGACTGTATTATTTACTCCGAAGGTTATATATGAGGCACGAGGATGCAACTTCTCAGTTCACGCGTGAAAGAGCAGAGGTCACCAATTTCATTGCCATGCCTGATGTTAAGGAGCCGGGTTAGCGTAGTTGGTATAGCGACTGGTTACGGTTAGGAAGATCGAGGGGTCGGAGTTCGAGCCTGGGTAGGGTCAAGTATTTTATCCACCTCGTCCAGATCGGCCCATGGGTTCACCCAACCTCCTATTCAAAGGGTACCGAGGGCTCTTTCCCCGATGTAAAGCGGTCAGGGCCGCGGCGAGAAGCTGACCACTCACCATCATCTAGTGTCGAGATCAAGAAACTGTGGATCTATATATTCGCTCCCTCATAGACCTTAATGGCGTAATGCTTAATTAGTTAAGCACAGGGACAGCTTAACCTTTACACCTGATATTGAAGAAACAGAATTTATGTTACTGATGTTTTAATTATTATCTTTTGTTACACCAAAATGACGTGTTTTAAAACCATAATCTGCTGTTTCATTATGGTTTGATTAATATGCATTGAGGGTATAATAAAGCAGAGTAGAGCAGTGATATAAGAAGGGTGTCTGCATATTATCAATCAATTCACAGCAGCATAACACTTGGTATATAAAAAAGTGAAGTACGGGTTTCAATAATGTGTACTGCATAATCATTCTTAATGAAAATAACAGTTGATGAGGGCTATTGCTTGCAGATCCACCTGCCAGCAAGTAGTACTATCTGTGCATGTAGAATTGGCAGCCTGTTACAATAAGCTCACATCTCATGATTTAGTTGTATAGAAAGAAGGAACAAATAACTTGAGAAAACTGCTATGAGCAGGTCAATAATTTGCATTTGAACATAATATTGTTAAGGCGATCAAATGAAGAATGAGGCAAGCAGGGCATGCAGCGTGTATGGAGTTGTGAAACCCATATGGAAAAAAGAGGCATTATTGGAAAGATAGTAGCAAGTGGATCCCATGGTTGTGGTCATTTACATTTGTTTATATTATGGTGAACTGCGAGTTCAGTAATTAATAATTGGCTCTCTGAATAGTTACTGTGTGAGGAAGGCTGTATCTTGGAGTTAATGGTTTACAGGAGAGATTCAAAGCTTTCATTTTTGCCAGTCTGTGCAAGGAATGCACAAAACTGATGCAAAAAGGAAAAGAATCACTCTGCATCAAACATTTTATATAATTTAACAATACTGTATTAACCACAGAGGGTATGTAGAATGTGACTGGAATGATATGAGAGCTGAATTAGGATATGGCCTAATTTAAGCTGTAAAACTGTAAGAAATGTGGAGGGAAAAGCGGTAAGAGTGAATAAAAAAATGTAGAATTAAAAGATAAATTAATGCAGAACAGACTGAGATGGTGGGGACTGTATTAAGAATGAATATTAGAGAATGTTTCAGACATGAAGCTAAAAGGAAAGTGCCCAAGAGGGAGACAAATATCAAGATGGGAACAAGAGGTAGGATGTCACTTAGAAGGAAGAAGACTGCAGAAAGAAACAGAATGAGAAGCCATGGGAGAAGAGAGATAATTTGTGAGGCGTGGTTGCTAGACATTGGTACATGATTGTAAAAACAGTGGTACTTTTACTCAGAGAGAGTGACATTGTAGGTGTTAAATTTTATGGACGTGAATACAATTATTGTTTTTGACCATTGTCCATTGTCCTGCTATTATTTAAAACAATGTTTTGGGGACTGGATTCTGCCTCTGTCTTCAAGACCATAACCTTGATTCAGTATGGAAGATTCAAATGAATGCCATCCTGTAACTGTCCATATCAGACAGTGGAATATGAACTTCACAACTTCAGAAGCACTGAATCAGATAACTGTTGGTTTTATCCTAACTAATGGTTGCTGCACAAAACATGACAACTAATGAACTTCATGAAGCAGAGTTCTTGAGAAGCTAACAGCTGTTCCCCTAGTAAAAAAATCCCATATTTATGGAACCAAAAGATTCAATTCTGAGCCAGATGAATGTAGTCTACCTCCACCTATCTTATTTCTTTAAGAACCATTCTAATGTTCCTTCTATTTCTGAGTCTTCCAAGCAGTCTTTTGCCTTCAGGTTTTTCAACATACTTTGCATGCATTAATTTCTTCCATGCATTCTACATGCCATACCAATCCCAAGTTCATTAATATGATCTTCCATATATTTGTTGAACAGTACAAAACACAAGGCTGTGCAGACAGCTTTGCAGCTCACATTCAGTTTCAGATATATATAGTGTGTGCCCAAGACCAGTCTGGTTCTCATTATGTAAAACCCTAAACACAACAAAACTGTCCTAACAGTTGGCTGCTAGCCAATAAATGGCAAGTTCCATAATAGGACTGTTGCCTGTTTTGTATACCAGCACTTCCTCTAGCGACATCGTAACAACAGTGTCCCACTAGAGCCCATTCGTAAGAGACACGGCAGGTTGCATTCTTTTCAGTCACAAAAAGAAATAATGACAAGAATTACAAATTCCAACAAAATAGATTTTATGTAACTCTGTAAAGTTGTCCCTGTACTTAACTAATTTAATCAATCACTATGCCATGAAGACATGGGGGAGTGGATGTATAGATCCACATTTTCTTGACCTCTGCACTAGTTGGTAGGTGAGTGGTTGCCTCTTTACTCCTGGTACCCATTGTGTAGGAGGTTGGGTGAACCCCAGAGCCGGTCTGGACTTTGGGAAGAGAAAATTCTTGATTCTACAGGCTCTCGAACTCTGATCCCTCGGTCATCCAGCCTGTAGCCAGTCACTATACTGACCACAGTATGCCGGCTCCCAATCTAATGGGTACTGCACTTTTTCTACCAAAGTGACCAGAGCTTGAATCCAGCCACCGTCTTCCATTGAACACTGAGGTCTATGATCTATGAAGTTTTTATGTCCATATTCCACATATACCTTTAAGCTACAGTGCTTGCATGTGGAGTTTATGTATATTTATAGAATAATTTAGAGAAAAAAGTGCTGAAAGAATTTTGGCAGGATTAAGATATCTACATAGTCATTATCAACCCAGTGAAACTGCATGATATGTACTGTATTACAGTGGCATTAGTCAGTTCATGGCTATGAAATTTCAAAATAGTCAACTGTTACACTTCAGTTCTAATAGTATCCACACTGATGTCTTGTTTCACATCTGAGGCCTTTACATTTAAATATTCCACATATGAAGGGGGACCCAAAAATAACCGGAACCGACCTGTTGCGCGCGCATGCTTTGTAGTTACGAGTTGTGCTGCTAGGTGGTGTTAGTGAGCTGGCGTCAGTCTGAGTTAAGTGGTTTGTCTGTGGTGCTCTGTTGTGTGCGTTCCTGTTTCAACCCTTTGGCGATTAGTGAGATGGCCGACCAGAAGGAACAAAGAGTGTGCGTGAAATTTTGCTTTCTGTTAGGGAAAACTGCAGCCGAGACTGTTGGGATGCTTCGGCAAGCCTTTAATGATGATGCTTTGGGGAAATCACAGGTCTACGAGTGGTTTTCCCGTTTCAAATCTGGCAGCATGTCAACAGAAGACATGCCACGCCCCGGGCGTCCTTCGACAGGAAGAAATGACGAAAACATTGCCAAAATCAAACGTGCAATTGATGAAGATCGTCGAAAGACCATTGACCAACTTTCTGAGGAAACGAACATCTCATGGAGCATGGTACAGCGAATTTTAACCGAAGGTTTGCACATGAGACGGGTGTCTGCAAAATTTGTTCCTCGCTTGCTCGGAGATGACCAAAGAGAAAACCGCGTGAATGTTTGCTGCGACTTGAAGAGTCGCCTTACTCACCCGACCTGCCTCCGTCGGACTCTTTTTTGTTTCCACGGATGAAGAGAAGTCTGAAAGGAAAGCGATTCCGTGATGTGGATGAAATCAAAGAAAACACGCTAAAGGCTTTGAACAGTATCCAGCCTCAAGAATTCCAGCACTGTTTTGAGCAGTGGCAAAAGCGTTGGGACAAGTGCATTAATGCACATGGACAATACTTTGAAGGGGACTAATATACAGTTCAATAAAAAATAACAAAAATAAATTCCGGTTATTTTTGGGTCCCCCCTCGTATTTCATTGTGAGTAGAAAAAATCAAATACAAATTAACAATATTGACTTGTCATTAGGTGCTTACCTTGAAGTTGAATGGGATCTTCAGTGTTGCTTTGAAAGTACTATAAACAGAACTGATGAATAATGCTGTTATTTCTGGATTTAAGTCTAAGAGATAATTACTTTCATAAGCAGTTGTCTTATAAAATGGACTACAAATGAGAACCCTGGGACCAAAAATCTGATGCACTTTGAAGGCTACCAAAAATATAAATAATTTAAGGTTGTAGGTGCTAATGTTTGTCTAAAATTATAATTAATTTTAAATTTGTTTTCCATTTATTTTGTTGTATTGTAGCATATACAATTGTCCATTCTAACATTTCACCATGGTCCCATGTCCATAAAAAGTTTTATCTTGCCAGCAGCAATGTAGATTAAATTACGAGGGGGTACCCAAAAGAAACCGAACTTATTTTTTTTTAAACTTATTTATTCAAATTCTAAGCACAAACCTTCAGTCCCCTTCAAAGTACTCTCCACTTACAGTAATACACTTGTCTAGTCTTTTATTCCAGTTTTCAAAACATTGTCTAAATTCATCTTTTGAGATGCTTGACAGCGCCTCCGTCGTTTTTTTCCTTCACCTCAGCAAAATCAGCAAAACGCTGAAAAAAAGTTTTGATCATTTCGGGACTCTTCTTTCAAAGCACAGCATGCTTCCACGCGACCTTGTTTTTGTTCAGTAGTCAGCAGTCGTGGCACGAATTTCGCAGCCACCCTTTTCATTCCCAAATCTTCTGTCAAAATTCGCTGAACTGAGCTCCAAGTCATTCCCGACAGCTCCACAATTTCTTCAATGGTCCGTCGTCGATCTTCCTTGATGATTTCACGAATTTTTTCAACATNAGGGGGAGTTTGACAGAAAAAGTTTTAGAGATGTGCAAGTCAAGTTTGTTTTATCCAATACAATTTTACATGTTTTTTGGTGTTATTCTTCAGTTACTGCACAATCCCATAGCAGTGACAGATTGTGGCACTTGGAGACAATCTTTTCACCTCAAATCACATCTTTCTCATAATTATTGCACTAATTTTCATATTGTCAAAGTTTAAAATGGATGTCTCATATCCACAGAACTGACAGGAACAGTAGTTCATTTATCTGTGTCCATAAGATCATAACTTACTATGCAAATGTCTTCTTTAAAACACTGTATTTGTTTTTGGATATTAGTAAATGAGTATACAGGTTCATTCAAAATTACTGCCGAGGTTTCCATTTATAGGCCACGGAAACCCTGACAATAGTTTAAAATCACCCTGTAATTTCTTTAAAACATAATCCCATAAAAGCATTTTTAGCATCTTTTATTAAATTATTAATCCTCCAATCTTTGACCTAGACACTTGAGACTCTTGTGTTTCTGCTTTTCATGGATGTTTAGTGCCTGCTGTTCTTACTGTTGTCATGTAGCCTTATAATTACTGTGAAGGGTTCTGATAGGTTATATTAATGCTCCATCTTATTTGAAGTGCTATCTAATTTGTAGCAAATGCTGTTTGAATTACTTCTAGTATATATTGTAATAAAGACAATGAATCACCATCGTAATGGGTGAAATATGTATATTCGTACATTATTCAAAATTAGCACTACAAATTCAAATCCGATTTATATAAATTATATTCTCTAGTTTCTTTTCATTCTCCAGATCTGAATATTTTTTTACATTTTAATTTATTCATAACAAATAGTCCACCTAATCACACATTTCTTATGTCTTCAAAGTATGTACACTGATTCAGGAGCACCTGAACTTGCACTTTGATTTGAAAGTCATCAAGCCCAATTGTACAGACATACATTTTTGGAAAAATAAAAAGTGCACATTATCTTACATTCAAAAAAATATAAAAAATGGTTTATCTACCTTTGAAACAAGTAGGAATGGACAGAGGGGGAAGTGGAATGATTCTGTTCATTCACATACTTGCCAGTTTTAATCTGTACGTTTTTATTCAGAATTGGGACAAAAAACTAAGTAAAGACAATGGGCACAGGAGCTAATATCACGATGATCCCAATATCATTAACTGTAGCTCCCAGTAATGTAACAAACATAAGTCTCAATCTCTGTCATGTCTGTTTTGCATTCATGCTATGCCTCCACATGATACGACTGTCAAGTTTAAAAGAAAACTGAATAACTTCCATATTTTATAGGTCTTTGGGCCCTTATTCTGGCACATGCATTTACTGCCATACCTTACATATTCTTATCAACAATTTAATTTCTAAACTTATTTCAGATTAACTCCACATCTAAATACATGTTTGCATAATGCATAAAATTTTAGAAATGACTGCATAATTCCTTCATTGCATCAGTACCTTGTAATCTTGTAACAGTTCCAAGTTTGGGTTTTAGCATGCTGTAATCATCATTTTAGAAAAGCAATAACACAACCACTACCAATCAGACTTATAAGGAACTTATAAATGTAAATTTAGAAACGACTGGTCAGTATCTCTCCAAAATGAATTTTTATGATTCAAGGCTAGATATACAGACTTATACTGATTTTGTAATTTGTGTAATTTCAGATAATAATCAAGCAATGCATCCCAGATAAACAAGAACAAAAATATTAACATTGCTGTAATAAAGACAAAAATACAAAGAAATAAATTTTGTACAGCCCACTAATACATGCACTCACATTCAACTTTCACTCACGTACTGATGGAAATAAAGGGAAATATTATATAAAATACATTCTTTTAATAAAATACTTCAATTTGATTTTTCACATATTCCCTTTCCAGTACACATTAATTCTGGGAATCAGTCTGCTTCCACTGATGAAAGAGAACTCACAGACATAAAACTTCATTAGTACTCCTGTAATTAGACCAAAAATGGAGACAGGACCTTATTATTTGTATTAGAAGCATTGCACTTTCCCTCCAGTAACATCACAGCAACTCTCTTTCTGTAACCAGAATTTGACAATGTACACACTGCAGACTCAACACGAAGTATGCTTACATGAGGCATCACACATGAATATGGCGTACATTTAAGGAGGTATGCACCATTGATTTATCTCTACAAGAATCACATCAATTACCAAATCTTGCACATCAAGAATCTGGACCAGGGAGATAGAAAAAAAAACACTGCTGTTCAGTTATGTAATTTTGCTTCACTAGCAACAAATATAATCTTACAGTTCACATCAAAAGCAGTTCAAGTTTTCCTAAAATATACTTACATTCTCAGTAAAAACTAAAATCAAAATGTCAAACTAGATACAATACTTTGATACCATCACTTTTAATCACTTTAATAGAAACAATAATATGTATCGCTTATAGAACATTTACATTACAACTCTCATAATGATTTATCTTTTGTATTTCTGAGTACGTTACAGTTTTGAACATCAGGATATTCAAATATTACAGTATTCATTATTTCCCTGAGATGGTATGAGATAATATTATCCACCTTCATGTCAAAGGTTACATAAAATTATTTAAAAAAAAATTGACTGAATCATAAATAATCACAACTACAGCACTTCATTAGCACTAAATTAGATATCTGAACAAAAGTTAATATCTATAAATCATTTCTGCAACAACTCTTGCCAACTTAAGTACAAAACTGCAAAATATCCAGTGAAAATGATTAAGAAAAACCATGCAAAATGTAACAAGATCTATTGCACCATTTCCACCATGTACATAAATAATAACATCTGTTGGTTTACACGAGAATTCCATATCTTTATAGAACATTGTGTTTTGCACATAATTCCCAACTGGTTTAGTCTCATTCTTTCCTCAAACTTACAACTGTAGAAAATGAATCTAATATAGAAATTAACTTCTGCATTCCATAGAAATATAGTCATGGATAAGTCATCAAAGCAAGTTTTGTCTTGAAGAAAATAAAAAATATATATACTCTTACAACTTCCATGTTTAAAATTCAATTAGATTGCACATTCCATACATTACATTAAACAACACAGCTTTGCCGCTATATGAAACATCAACAAAACAGAATTTTAAATACAACATCACTAGATAATTTAACAAAACAATCTTGTTTATGTAATGTTATTGTACACCTTTGTTTCTCGCATGTTACTATCTCCAAAAACACAAAAATTATTTTGTGACTTAATTTCACAAATCAACAATATTCCATTTACCAAATCAGAATGTAACCTTTCACAGTGAGTGCAAAAAAGCTCAATCCTATAGCACTGCACCACTAGTTGTGCATTCCCTATAGTGTTAACAATCCCTCAGGTCACCTAAAGCCAACTGTGATCTTCTCCACACCTAAGAGTTGTCTGACCTTTTCGTTATATCTGACTAGTGCCACTTTGGATGCACGAATATTGATCTTCTCTCCACCACAAGATACGTGACAGCTGCGTGCCTGTTCTAAAAAGTCTGCCATTTTGAACTCACGAAGCACACTTCTTGCCTCTGCACACAGTTGTCGTAATAAAGCATCACGTGATTTGATACGAAGCAACTGTGTCAGGTCCTGAAGCAGAACCCATCGTTCTCCTGGTGGTTCACAACGAAGACGATATAGTACTGGAAGCGATAATTCACTTGTCTCCATCTCTATACCATTTTCTTCAGGAGGTTCAGGGGATGAGCATGGTGGATATGACAATGGATCATATCCACTCTCTGGAGAATCTAGAACAATCACACTGTATATGATTCTGCTCTCTCCTCTGTGACTAACACAGTAAATGATACTGTGTTAATATCAACTTATTTTCATATTTTATAGCTGTCTAAACAGTTCAGATTACAATGTAGAATAAGGTAGTACACAGTTCCATTTATGGGGTATATGTGATCTGGACAGGTCTGCATACCTTCCACAAGAGTGCAGAATTAATTTAATATTTATCATTGCATCAAGTTCAAAAGATCTGAATGAATGAGCGCTTAACTGAAAAATTAATGAAATATGTGATTATGTTCAGTACTGTAACACTATGTTTCCATCCATCTACAGTGAAGATGCTATTTAATATGCTTCAGTTCATGGTTTTCCCTCATTTAACAATCATTTTAATGGCCCCACGTTAATCATTTCAAAGTTAAATTTCGTTCATTTAGGTAACGTCAGGCAGCCAAGCAAACTTTTCAGTTGTCTCATACTCTAAACAACTAATGACAGAATAAAACTGACTACACATAATGGAGTGTTCACACGTACCACAGCAACTTGCAGCACCCTGGAATGTCCATGGAGGTGCTGGTTGTCCTTGTACATCAGATAGGTGCTGCTGCAACAACCTGCGAGCCTCATCATCTGTTACCAGGGATAGTGGAGTGTAGCCACTGTATGTTGCCAGAAGAGGGTCAGCCCCATAAGATAGTAACAGACGGATCAGCTCCGTGAAGCCATTTTCAGCAGCTTCATGCAAGGGCCTGTGGATGCAGACATTTAATGTCAAAATATTGTGAGACTGTGGACCTGTCGTCTTGACAGATTACTGATGATGATTGTACCAGAAATTAGATTATGTCACTGAACACTGAAAGCGGCATGAATAACTACTAATAAACAAAACTCTTTATGTTTTTTTTTGGTCCACAAGTAAACTATACCAACTGAGTGACCGTCACTTGTTGGTGAAGTTAGTGCAAACTTTAATGGATAAAGGGTGTCATGTGGTCAGCGAAATGAATCCCCACGGTTGTTAATTTCAGTTTTCTAGACCTGAGCCGTTATTTCTTTGAAATAGCTCCTCAGTTATCCTCACGAGGCTGAGTGGACCCCATTCCAGAACCACTTCTTCTCCAGCGCCCGGAATCGAACCCGGACCTCTGGATATGTAGCCAGAAACTGACCACTAGACCACAGAGGCGGTCTGAATAACTACTAATACTTACTTACTCATGGAGCTGAGCCCTTATGGAGGAGCCGCCAATTCTGCAGCTACTCAAGAATTTCCCAGCATTTTATGGAACCCAGAAGTTCATTACCGTGTTCACAAGAGCCCTCCACTGGTCCCTATCCTGAGCCAGATCTATCCAATCCTATCTCTCTAAGATCCATTCTAATACTGTCCACCCACCTACACCTTGGTCTTCCCTGTGGTCTCTTTCCTTCTGGCTTTCCCACCAATATCCTATACGCATTCCTCGTCTCCCCCATTCGTGCTACATGACCTGCCCACCTCATTCTCCTTCACTTGATCATTCTAATTATACAGGGTTATTCAAAGAGAATGAACTGATTACATGACGCATTGCTTCAGTTCTCAAGCATCGTTATGGAATGAGTCAGTGACCATATGAAAGAGGAGTTATCTAAGCTGCGAATGGCTGCCACAGGGGCGCTGAAGTAGCGTCGTTCTTCCAGCAACGTTCAGTTGTTCGTTTACCCTTGGAATGGCGAGTCCTCAGCCAAAGTCGTTCTGTGTTCTCGAGTTCGCGAAAACAAATTCAGTTGTCACGGTGCAGCGTGCTTTTTGAAGGTGATTCGGCATTAATCCGCCCTGTCCTAAGAACATTCAATGGTGGTTTCGACAGTTTCAAGACAGTGAGTGTCTGTGTAAAGGAAAAAGTCCAGGACAACCACGAGCCTCGGAGGAACAAGTGGCGAGAATCCATGCTGTGTTTGAGAGAAGCCCGCAGAAGTCAACAAATCGAGCTAGCCATGAGCTTGTGATCCCTCAGTCCACTGTCTGGCATGTGCTAACAGTATATCTACATTTGAAACCATACAGACCGCAGCTCGTTCAGGCACTTACCAATGATGACAAAAGGAAGCAGATGGAATTTTGCGATTCAATGCTGGAGATGATGGAAGACGAAACCTTCATTTCACGTTTAATTTTTAGTGATGAAGCGACTTTTCACTTGAGCGGCACAGTCAATCGTCACAATGTGCATATTTGGGGAACAGAGCACCCACATGAAACAGTTGAGCACGAAAGAGATTCCCCTAAGGTGAACGTCTTCTGTGCTGTGTCTCAGGACAAGGTTTATTGTCCCTTTTTCTTTGAAGGAAACACCATTACAGGACAAACTTATCTTGATATGCTCCAAAACTGGCTCTTCACTTCACTGCAAGCAGATTCGCATGACTTCATTTTTCAACAAGCTGGAGCACCGCCCCATTGGCACCTGATGGTCCAAGCTGTTTTAAATGAAAAAGTGCCCCAGCGATGAATTGGTCGGAAGGGGGCCAAAGACCTTGCTCTTTGTGCTTGGCCTGCGAGATCCCCAGACCTCATGGTGTGTGATTTCTTCTTGTGGGTATATGTAAAAGATCACGTTTATGTTCCACTGCTACCCACTAACCTCGATGACCTTAAACATCGATTAACTCAGTGCATCGTGACATGCTGATACGTGCCTGGGAGGAATTCTCTTATCGCATTGATGTTGCCCGTGCTGCAGGTGGTGGCCACATTGAACACTTGTAAGAGAGGAAATAAAAGTTGATTTTAAGTAGAATACTTGTGACTTGGCTGGAGTTTTGTATTACTTTCCTTTAATAAAATATTGCGCAATAAAATCGGTTCATTCTTTTTGAATAACCCTGTACTTGGAGAAGAGTACAAGTTGTGAAGTTCCTCATTATGCAGTTTTCTCCAACCTCCTGTCACTTCATCTCTCTTTGGTCCAAATATTCTCAAACACCCTCAGTCTATGTTCCTCCCATAATGTCAGAGACCAAGTTTCACACCCATACAGAACCACAGGCAAAATTATAGTTTTGTATATTCTAATTTTTATGTTTTTGGACAACAGACAAGAAGACAAAAGATTCTGGACTGAATGGTAGCAAGCATTACCCGAGTTCAATCTCCTCTTCATTTCCTCCTGAATCAGGTTTCGATCTGTCATCATTGTTCCCAAATATCTGAACTGTGCCACATTTTCAAAACATCTGTTTCCTATCTTTATGTCATGATTTTGCCCTGCATTTTGGTGATGAGACAGTAACATATACTTAGTTTTCTCTGT